AATAATGAGATTTTTTGATTTTGTAACTCCCAATTAAAATATTTGGGAGTTACATAAGAATGACTAATGACCTAAATACCCTTATGATTAATATGTAAGTTACATTTTAACCAAACCCAAAGATGCAACATTATTGGTTGATGTGGGTTAGCAAAGTTTGCACAAAATATTGGGTTAGTATTTGAACCACCCTCTATATATATATATATATATATATATATATATATAAAGATAAAGATTATCAACAACCAGCTTTAGAATGAATCCAAATTAATCTTGGTAAGAGACAAGTTGTCATGCTATTATTACAATAAAATTGAGTTTATAGGACGTCAACCATGATCAAGTGTCCTAAAAAACCGTTTTTAGGACTCAACTTTATTTTATAACAAGACAAAATGTCATATCTTAAAGTATTACAATAAGTTTATAGAACGTTTTAGGCATTATAACAAAATTTTTAAGATATTTTATAAGAAAATGTCATATTAGCTATTTTTATAGGATATTATTTTAAAATTGTTTTTATAAACACATATATCCTATAAAAAGATATGTTTATGGAAGATTTCTCAAAAGTATTCTGCAAAATAACTAATACGACACTTTATATAAAAAAAATCTAAATACTTGTTAAAACACCACAAAACCATTCTTATAAACTTATTGTAACACTTTTAGATAAAATTGTACATGAGTTGGGTTGGCCGGGTTGCAAGTATTTGAACAACCCAACCTAATGTTTGCGGTTTAAAAAATCTCATCCTAACTCGTACGGGGTTGGGTTGGATTGGTATGGTTGAAACTTTGGTTCATCATTTTACAATCTAGCAAAACTATTGCGCTTAAACAAAGTAAAATTAAAATAAGAATATACAAAAAAGGCCAACAAACTCAAAAAAAAAAATTTGAAGGTTCGTGCAAATAAAAAAGTAAAATCATGTTTGAAATTGTTATATAATTATGAACAAAACTAATTACGGGTTTGTCTAACGTCTAATGAACATATAATAATCAAGAACTTAATAATCATATTAAATACATGGCATAAAAAATGGGTTGAGTTGGGTTGGGTCCAAATATTTCTAACAAGGTTCCAACCCAATACCTATCACTTGAAGATTTTATAACTCGATTAAGGCCAACAAACTCAAAAAAAAAGTTGAAGGTTCGTGCAAATAAAAAAGTAAAATGGTTGAAATTGTGAACAAAACTAATTACGGGTTTGTCTAATGTCTGATGAACATATATTAATCAAGAACTTAACATCATATTAAATACATGGTATAGAAAATGGGTTGGGTTGGGTTGGGTTGGGTTGGGTTGGGTTCAAATGTTTCTAACCCGATTTTATTGAGTTATACTACCCTTGAAATAAATAAACTAAACCAAACAAACCCAAAATACCTCACCAAAGGTACGATCTAGAAGTAGGACGTATTCAAACCTTACCTCTATCTCAATAAACATATATGATGGAAGGGTTGGGTTCCGGTGAGAAGACGGGTTAAGGTGAGAAGTGTAAGAAGGGATCTCCACCCTTATATCCACGTTAAGATGAAATGCACCAGATCAATCTCCGTATCAAGCACGATTCATAGGTAGATTTAAAAATTAAAAATGATAAGGATCCAGATCTTTTCTTATGTTTTTTTGCAAACAAATATTAGCAAATTTACACAAGGATGCATATACTGCTTTTTAAGTTCACTACTCATTAATAAAAGTATCCCACAATTTGTTGCCCTCATTTACGAGTTCGGTTATTTCTAAGATCATCTTCGTCATTCGTTTGCTCAACTTTGATCGGGTAACGACATTTATAGAGCTTTGTTTCCTTTGGAACTTGTCTTCAAGTTCTTGTGCTCGCTTTTCGACATCCATCACCCTATAAAACCAGTCGTCCATGGTCCGCTCCATTGTTGACCTGTATTGGGTGGCTCTATTTTTCAAATCGACCCTTATTGCACGTAAGGTTTTCAGCTTTCCCACAAAACGTGAATGGTTCTTTTTCATACAACTCGAAGCCTTTGCAAATGGTTCGACGAAATTCCATACTTTTGGCAGCACTGCTACAGCAAGATTCACAGCCTGAAACCAAGCCATTAGAACCTACAAATATGGAACATGATCAGTACTCAAATAAATGAATCTAGAGCAAGAAAGTGGCATGATGTAGAGTTTAAAGGGCGTTTGGCCTAACAGCATCTGAGTTAGTTATCAGTAAAATCCATCCTCCCAGAAAGTCAACGGTTTAAGGTTCAAACCTCACCAAGCGTGGGAAGAAGAAGAGTGTGTGAGTTCATTTGATGTATATAAAACGACTTAAAAAGAAAAACCCACAAACCATTGAGGATATCTTGTTAATTTGTAGTTCGGTGTTCCCGCGTCAATTGATGGTTCGCCGTGCTACGAAACCGAAACTTAACTGCAAAACAAGGTAATTGCATTGTATTTGAGGTTAGGTTCTGATCAACCATGAACACAAAATTCATATTAGTAGAATGAAGAAAGTGCTTAAAAATTGTATGAAGAAATTATCAGTACAAAATGAAAAGCAGGTTTGCTTTTTTGGATTTGAAGACCCAAATTCTTGAATACCATTGTGGATACCTGTGTGTAAGTATAAAAAAAAGGTAAGCGAAGACCAAGACCGAGCATGAGTTGACGTTTCTGAGTCGTCCTCAGAATTAGTCAATATCGCAATCTACGCCACATACATAAATATATACATATATACTTACTTACATACATACATAAATTGATCAGATTTATACGAGAACAATAACTAAATAAGACAATAAGAAAAACGGTCTGATTTTCCACTAGAGTCACATGTAAAATTAATCACAGGCGAATTTGAGATCGCGGGGCCATGTGATTTGGGGGTTTTTTTCTTCGTATTCTCTTATTTTGTTACTGTTTTCGTTTGAACTTCTCCCTCTCTCTATCTCTTTATATATATATATATATATATAGGGTATATTTCTTTTACAACCTTATATATTTGTACAACCCTTGCAACCCAATTAATTGAGATATTTATAGAAATGATAAAAGTTCATTTATTATGATTTGAATATTTATGGAATATAAATAGAGTTCATTAATTATGATTAATACTTTATATTAAGAAACAATCAAAACTTCTATAAAATCACATATTAATCAAATGAAATGGACGGTTAAGATTGGGTTGTATTGGTTGCACAAATGTCAAGGGTTGTATAATAACCAACCTCTATATATATATATATATATATATATATATATATATAAAAGGGAGACAAGACCAAACTTGTCAAATTAAGTGTAGGTTTAGTGGCCACACTCTGTATAGTTTTCACAATTTTTAAGCTAACTGAACTACAAAGATCCAAGGTTTTACAGGGTGGCAATGAGCCAGGTTGGATTACGTTCAGGCTTAACATATTTATTAAACAAGTTCAATCCATTTAATTAAATGGGTTGAGATTTTTCAACCTAACTCAATCTGTTACCTAAATGGGTTGATAACGATTGACCTGTTTATGATTTTTTTCAACCCAATCTGTTAAATAAATGGGTTGAACCTGGATTTACCATTTAATTATAAAAATTTTAAAATAAAATAAAAAGGATTAGACTATTTAATTTTATGAATAAAACACAACCACAACCAGAAATACAAATAAATTGTTCAAAGTTCGAATAAAACACAACCACACCATAAATGCAAGTAAATTGTTCAAATATCATTGGAAACCTTTAATTTTTAAGTAGTTAGACTTCCACCGTCAACTTAATGGGTTGTAAACATGTCGGGAACTTCAACCCAGCCTAACCCATTTATTTAAATGGGTTAGACGAGTTGACCCATTTACTTAAATGGTTGAAACTCTCAACCCAACCTGCTAATTTTGGGTTGGGTTCGGGTTGGCTCACTTTTTGTCAGCTGTACATGACGGTAAGGACAAACCTCAAGCTTTAAGAGTCAACAGCGTGATGTGACTTATGATGCCAAATCTATATATCACATATACAATTATATATTTATATACACACATGTTTTCTATTATTACTTAATAAGTCAATGATATTAAACGATTTAAATTTGATTACATACTAAAAATTAGAAAAATATATAACATTAAATTAGTAAAAAGGTCTATTAATGTCTTACAAAAACCGCATATAGAGCCAAGACTTGTCACGAGCTTATCATGACGCTAGAGACGAGCCTTGTTTGACGACCAGCCATAACCAACGAGTTACTTCAAGTCCAATGGCTTTTAGGATTAATCAAGGTGTATGTATATAAGTTGTTCTCGAACACTCATAGTTAACAAGAAAATATGTAACTAGTAGTATACACATCTAAAGGCAATGTAGATATCGAAAACAAGCAAATGACAAAAAGATTTAATCTCTCCCTGAAAAGGAGGTGATCCAGCCGCATCTTCCAGTACGGCTACCTTGTTACGACTTCACTCCAGTCACTAGCCCTGCCTTTGGCATCCCCCTCCTTGCGGTTAAGGTAACGACTTCGGGCTGCCAGCTCCCATAGTGTGATGGACGGTGTGTACAAGGCCCGGGAACGGATTCACCACTGTTATCGATGTAATAGTATTTGTTCAGAGGAGATGAATGATCATATATTATTAACGAGAATCAATGGGAGGATTGCAAAATTGCAAGAACATTCAATGAAGCTCCAACTTAAGCTCTTAAGACATGGTATCTAGGAATAAATGATCAACAACAAAAAAAATTATATTCTTGCATACAACTTTCGCAATTTGTGGAGGAGCCTCCGACACTTGTTACCCAACTAAGGAAGCGAGTTAGACAAAAAAAGAAGCCCAGACAAAAGGATGCAATTATAAGGGGGGCTAACTACCCACTGAGCTAATAGCCGATAACCAAAAGGAATTACTAAATAACTTAATAAAATTGATATATGCTAATCGGGTGAGCATGACAATGACTGAAAATCTTACCGGGTAAATGACAAGAATCGAGAAGTGAGAATGGTCATGACTCTTTCCCATTAGCACTTATCCGCTAAGATTATTGTCTAGCATGCCATTTTTATGGCTAATAATCGTACTCGGTTAGATAAGTAAGAGTTGTGACTTTTATCGGTAAACAACCCCTAAGTCTCAATTTATGTACCATAACTTTCCACCTCTGTAAATGCAACGGCGACATGTTATCGGTCAATAGATTGGAACATCTTCCAATTGTGCGACTCAAGCCGCTTGTATGTCGCTTTTGATGTAAAATGGTGTGCGACAAGAAGTCACCTAAGATGTCATTGGAAAGCTATGATACATATCGTAAACTTACTCCAAATAAAAGGTTGCAGGAGTTGCTATACGACTTCCATGAAATCGCCTAATAGGACCAACCATTCAATATAAGCCGATTAGGTAAAATTTCATTGACCATCTTCATATTTCCTTATTTGGCATTAATATCAGAGAGCTTGTTGTTCAAGCTTAATTATAGCTTCTGTATCTTGGGAATAAGATCTCGTAACCCCCTTTGACATTTGATAAATAAAAGTCATCTCCTCTACCTGTGAGCATAAACTATCACACCGACAGTAGAATCATGTTATATCTCGTGTTATTTATGTAGAGATGCTACCATCCGTCCAATAGTCAACACATTCTTTTGCATGGACAATAATTGAGCACCAATTGTAGCATTCAAATCGACCCAAATTATTCTAATAGTAGTAGTAGTAGTGTTACATAAACACATTTTAAGTGATAATCTTGCCAAGAAGTTCAAGAATCCAGCTAATAGTAGGTGCAGTTAAACCACCATCAACAAAGGCAATCTTGTTCTTAGCTGAAAGGGCTATAAGTATGGAAAGCTTCTAACCACCAAATCCAATACCATAAAAAGGTTCAGAAAAAGGAATTGTACCAGGATTTATGAAGAATGCAGAAAACAAAGGATCAGTAATAGATCCCATTTGCTGAAATGCTATTCTTGTATCAGATGAGCTCAAAAAAACCAAAAATGTAGTGACATAAGATCAAACAGAAGCATTTGTGAGAAATGATCAAATATCCAATTGATAGATAGACGAGACAAATCATGTTGACGTGAGAACTCCATAAATGCTTTGATACCATGTTAAGTTGAGATGAAACTGAATGGATAAAAGAGAGATGTTTTCTCAAACTTTATTACACAAACTGATTTGTACAAGAGGAGATGAGAACCTTATATACAGAAACATTCACCAAGATTTTCGAAAAAGCAATATTAACCTGCTCTTAATTGTCTAATGCTTGCTAGAATGCCAACAGAAACAGCCCTCTTGTGTTCTTATTCATCCTAATTGGCTTGACACCTCAGCGGAACAAGGCAAAGTCCGAATGAAATTTTGAGGAAGGTTCATATGAGAAGGCTAATTATTATGAAAATGTGCGAATGGACCTGTTCATATGTGAATCATTGAAAAAATCCATTTGAAAAAGCATATGTGAACCCATATCAACAATCTTTAACATGGGTTCACATACGGCATATGCATCTTCAAATGGATCTTTTCGGAAATTGTCAATGATGATTCGCATATGAACCTTCCCTTGGCACCTTCTCACCATATTTAGCCTTCTAATTTGAAACTCCCACTATATATTTGGGTTCGTGTAAGAAATGTATTTTTTAAGAGAAATGTGAGAAATGTAACCTTCAGATTATATAATGTAACATTCACACAAGGGTACCTTTACCACTTCTCACCGAAAATCTTTTTTCTCATGTGATCCCAAGTCTCTCTCTCTCTCTCTCTCTCTCTCTCTCTCTCTCTCTCTCTCTATATATATATATATATATATATATATATATATATATATATATATCGTAAATTGACATTGAGCCAAGTAATAACTTGGCTCAAAGGAAACCTAACATCAAATTATTTCTTACATATATAAACCTGATACTGTTTACACCAAAATGATACCTACAAGATGTTTCAATCATAAGTATACAGAAATGAATCGAGGACACACATGTTACTGTTCACACTGCAAAGGAATCTACAGCAGAGTACAAAGTGAGGACCCTACCTCCACATCTCAGCAACCAGATTTAGAATGAATACTAGTTACCTTTGGGAAGAGATGGCTGTTGTTGACATGCTTCGTGGCCAAATTGTTATGTTGGCTGCCTGAAATGAGCAATGCAAGAAAAATTGAGCAAATTAACACATTGATGCAAATGTGGACCCTATGCAACATTCTTTTATTGATTTATTAAATGTTATAACAGTACTTGATTTCCCTACAAGCACAGAAAAACAGGAAGACAAAGAAGACATCCAACTGAGATAAGATTCAATTCAAAGCCACATAGCAGCAACCCAGGAATCAAAGTAGAAAGATAGACGGACCATTCTCTTAAGCAAAAAGGGAATGATTCATATGATGCAACAGTAGTTTCTATTAAGCATTTAATTATAAGAAAAAACAAAGACATAAACAAGTGAGACGGGCAATACATGAAGAAAGCATGGTTTACTTTGAAAGATTCAAAGCAAGCAATTACGAATAGCCTAAGGGGCTGTTTACCAACATTTGTGGGCAAGTGCTGACTGGAAATCGTTGTTTACCAAATGTTTTGTATTAACTGCTGATGGAGTAGAGAAGACTATTATACACTTCTGTCAGGAGTAAGGAGGTATCAAATTGAGAGGGGAACCAAATATTAGGATGACCCTGGGTAAACGAATTGTCACCTATCCACATAAATAGTTAGGTCTGCAATGAAAAAGGAAACCTACCTAAAGAAGCAGCACCTACCAAGCTGTTCTTTGACTTCTGAATCTGACCATTGCAATGCCTTCCACCAATCTTCCTCCACTTCAATGGTCTGAATCTTCATTGCAGTGTTGCTATCAAAAGGCAATTCTTTTAATGTGGGACAATCATGTATCTTTAAGGTCTCCAAGGATGTCCAATCCAAAGTAGAGCATATCTTCCTTAAACTTGGCATATTACAAAGAATCAGCGTACTTAGTTTAGGAACGACATACGGACTAACATCCTGAGAACACGTAACAATCTCTTCAACCCTACAACAATCTTCAATGTCTAAATATTGGAGTTCTCGAAGCTGCTGAACTATAACATTGCAGAATACTATAGTCAGCATTGGGCATTTACGCAGGACTAGAGTCTTTAGTTTGGAGAGGCTCCCCAGTTGCACATGGCCCTCCCATATCTTTTCCAATTTTGGCATGTCTTTTGCATCCAATCTTTCCAAATTAGGCAACAATGATCGGTCTCGTGTGCAATAACTCCTCACTATTGTCCTCATTTTGTTGCATCTTTGAATTAGACAACCTTGAACATAGTCCATGCTTTCAATGGCATTGCTAGATAAGTGCTCAATATCATTGTGGTTGATTAACTCAAATGCATGTACTTTGGTGAGTACTTTATTGATCACATCATTTTGGCCCCACCCACTGTCATATTTTACGTACCTATCATAACGGTAGAATTCAGGAATTTCAGGGCCACGAGAAATGAAGCAGCCAATGTAAACTTGAAAGGAGCGTGTTTCAAGATCTTGCCTTCGCTCAAGAAAACTTCGAAGATGGTGTTCTTTCGGCACGTAGATCTTCACAGTGTCATCTACAACTTGTATTACGTCTATAACTCTGTTGTGAAGACAAAACTGAAAGGAAATCAACCTCGGAAGTGTACTAACCTTTTCAACCACATCTTCAATCAACTTATTGCACCAATCTTCCATTTCTGAATCCACATCAATGATCAACTCTTCAAGTCCTGACAACTTGAATATAGAATCATAGTTTCCTTGAGTTGACATGGTGAAGGATACTAACAAACGTCTCATCTGGGTTAAGCCTTCAATCTGATGCGGTAGTTTACCAACTCCACTACCACGGATATCAAGCACTTCGAGAGACTTAAGTTGTCCTATAAAACCAGGAAGCTCCTTTAATGCAGTACAACCATTTAGATAAAGAACTTTCAGATTTGACAGCTTGTATAGCGATGATGGCAGTGTTGTCAATTCTGTCATGTAAAGATCTAAAACCAGAAGGCTGTGCATGTGTTGAAAGAAGGAATCAGGAATTTTCTTATGCTTTGAATATTTCTGGACAAAAAGTGTAGAAAGCTGGGACGAACGGGGGGCATCAGGTAAGGTATCGAGTGAATTGTTGGCTAAAGAGATCCATTCCTTATCTGTCCACAAATCCACACACTGACGCTTCGGCATACCACCATTCGGTTTTTGAAGGGCTTCACTTGTTTTCACCAAGCACCTATCTTTCCTGTCTTCAGATAAAAGATTTAACGCTGTTGCTCGGATCACTTTATGCATCCTAACATATCGCCCTGTTGCACCTTCCTCAAGTAAAATTACATTTTTGAGGTGACGCAATATATTGCGTCCACTGATTTTTGCATCATCACTACTCTTGAGAATATTTTCAGCCTCCCAACAGTCCAATAAGCCCTCCGTGAAAATTTCAGTGTCCTCTGGATACAGCGCACTGTAAAGAAAACATGGCTTTTGTTCATGATCCAAATGATCACAACAGAATTTAAGCAAGTCTTTCATTGGCTCATTATTTCCCTTTTGTGGCCACCTTCTTAACGTTTGTAATCCGTCACTCCAACTTATCTCACTAAGCTCACGCTTCTCTATTGCTTTGAAGATACGTGCTGCCATTTTTATCATTAATGGATGACCGGCACACAAGGAGACAGCTTTGCGAGCAGTGCGTTCAAGCTGTGGCTTATCTTTGATATCATCGTGGAGATCCAATAGCTTATGGAACATGTTCCATGACTCACTTTGAGATAACTTTTTCACTTCAATGTTGGAACATGAAGGAAGCCGAACATGCCGAAATTTGGTTGTCATGACTATCTTGCTGCCTTTTGCACCTTCAGGAATACCAATCATGTCTAAATCAAGTTCTGATTTGACATCATCCAAGAGAAGCAAGTACTTTACACCCTCTAGTTCTTCCTTTACTTTCCTTGCGATTTTGGTAACATCTGTGGCGCCTTCTGTGTCAACTATCAGTCTTTCTGCAATCATATGCTGCAGCATCTCTGTGCTCAAATTCTCCTTGTTATTCTCCTCACCTGACACCGTCACCCAGATAACTCTTTCGTACATACTAGCAACTTTTTCATGGTTATTCAAATTCTGCATTATCGTAGTTTTCCCTGCCCCCAACATTCCTAGCACCCTGATTGCTTTAAGATCTTCATTTGTCAGATCTTGCAGTATTTTGTCCAAAGCGCCTTGGAGGGTTGGAATATAAGAGATATCTGGCGCTGTCACCTTCACTACCGGCTCAGCAACTTTGTGGACCAAGGTATCACCCAATTGATTGCCCTCTACTAAAAATTCGCCTATTTCTAAAATCATGCTTGCCATTTGTTTGCTCAACTTTGATCTGGGAAGTACATGAAACAATCTTGAGCTTTCTTCCAACTCTATGAACTTGTTGTGAAGTTCTTCTGCAAGATTTTCAGCAACCATCACCCTATGAAACCAGTCATCCATGGTTCGCTTCTTTGTTGACTTGTATTTGGTGGTTCTATCTTTCAGATCGTCCCTTAATGCGCAGAGGGTCTTCATTTTCGCCTCAAGAAGTGAATAGTTACGATTCATGCACATTGAAGCCTCAGTGATTCGTTGGATAGAATCCCATACTGTCTCACCAGCTTTTTGAAGCACTTCTGTAACAACTTCCTCAGCCATCAAGCCACTAAAAACCTATAACATGCAAATGAGTAATCAGTTGGTCACAGAAATGAAAGAGTGATTGGTACTGTAATGTGACAATTCGTGGGGATTCTGATATATGACATGATGTTGAGTTTGTGATTCAAAAGTACACATTAGAAAAGCAACCCTAAACAATTATGAATATATAGTCTATAGTTCAAAGTATCCCCCAATTGACAGAAAGTTCGTTGTAGATCCCCAAGTTTGTGTCGACATTTAGATCCTTTGAGATCTATTATCAATACAGCCTTATTTTTGTCGAAAAAGAAAGAATCGCAAAAACTATTTTGCATGTATATTCTGTGCGGGAATGTCTGCAAAATACCAAAACCATCTTATGTAGCACATGCCATGTTTTCTTATTCAAAATAAACTCCATGTCACCAAATATGCAACAGAATATCCCAAAATAAATGCATTCCAGCAAAATTATAACCCAATAATAATGTTATAAAGTATTGAAAAACCATAACCAAACCCCTGCATTGCTTCAGACAGGAGGAAGCATTTAAGTATACCTAGTTGCAGGATTAGAGGTTTGTTGCTTAAACATATATCCTAGTAAAATAACCTTCAACTAGAAGTTCAGATTTGAAAATACCGATAGACGTTCCCGAAGTTTAAACTTCACTGGACATATAATCTTTGAATCCCAAAACTCTGTGAAAATTTCAGATGAAGTCATAACCATTTTCCTCAGTTCTTCCTTCATTTAGTTAATCATGTTTTCATTTCCTTGGCCCATATAAACTAAATAAGCCTTAAATGTGATTTTAGACCCAAGAAAGATAAAAACCAAGTAGATTGTGGTTTCCATTTATATATTTGTATAATTTGTCCAAAATCACTACTTGTTGGAAACCACCTAGTTTTTGGTATTTTTGGATGAAAGATATCTGCAAATAAAGGCAAGTCCAGTCCAGAGTTGGAAAACTCACAGTCAAAGTCTCAATCGAGAATCGAATATCAATTTTCAACATCAAAATCCATACTAAATTTGTAGAAAGCACACAACAGCCCATTACAAGAAGGTATTTACAATATATTCCATAGAAAACTAGTATAAATTATGATTCTCCCAACCGAACTTCATATAGACCTATCAATTTTCGTTTTAAAAGATCAAATTGTTAGAATTCATTGCACCGTGAGCGATGGATACCTGTCTAGAAGGGCATGCTAAATTCGAAGTCTTCAATCCATCGGAAATCCTTTAAGGAGGCTCAGCTCAAGAATTTCATGGTCGGGGAAGAGAATTCCGGTAAACGTCGAAAGGAAAGCGACCTGAGCATCAGTTGACTGACTTTTTGATCGCCAGACCAGTCCCCAATGGTATTTTTCAATGGCAGACTGATTGATCATCACTTTTACTACAAATTCTCACCCACAAATAATTACATTTTTAATCATATCACTTTTCTACACTTTTTCCGGTAGTGCTTGTCAAGTAATATTATCTTACCTTATAAATATGGTAAGAACCGAGAATCTTATTCGGTAAGAGGGAGACAAGGACCAAGAGTCTTACCCGATAAGTGAGGGTGACGACTCTTAACATGATAAGCGCTTACAGGATAAATTGTTGCATACGATGTCGTTTTGGTGGACTAAAATCTTACCCGATAAATAAATAATAATATTAAATTTAACTGGTAAACACTTACTGAATAAGTGTTTGGTAAACGGCTCCTAACTTTCATAAACAACTCTCTTAACTACATCTTGATGCTCTACACTTTTGGCCTTGCTATATATGGGAAGGGTTCATTTGTACAAACAATCTTCATTTGTTAATTTTATTGATTAACGGTCATGATTAAATTGATCTATTTATACCAAAAACGTTCAAACACGAGACCTCTAGTATAACCATAAACAAGCTTACGACTAGGCTAATTGTTTGTGCTTTTGACTAATGTGTGTCCTCATTTTACATTTTTTTTAATTAACCTGGATATCCAACTCGCTATGCGAGCCGACTAATCACAGAACGACCACCTGCTTTGCAGATAGCCTGGAGTCACCACATTTGAACCTTCGTGACCACAAAGGGATTTTTATTCCTTCTTGGATTTGAACCTATTACTCCCTGGTACTTTTAACCTTTGGAGCCAAACTCAAACCAATCAGGCGTCACCCTTGTAGTTTCATTTTATCTTATGTTACTTCCTTCCTCATTTATCTTATTTTAAAACTTATTCTTTTTTGTCTTATTTTATTATAATAAAAATTTATTTGAGATAAAATAAAAAACTAAATAAAATTATTCATATTCAACAATAAATATTTTGTTAAGGATTTGCTTTGAAAAACTTTGTGATCATACCTGAAAACTAATTATTTTTGTTCTGTGTATAATTTCGTCAAATATTTTATAACAGAAATTGGTAAGTTGTCTTTTTTTTTCCTTGCATTTAGTGCACGTGTAAGCTCTAGTTTTTAACAAATTATATGAATTTGTTACAAGATAACATTTTTAGTCCATGTTCGACAATTGACTTTAACGTTGCTTGCGTATATCATTACATAGCCAAGTGTGATAACCGGGATTTATTGGTTATAAAGTTTGGGATTGCTTTTGAATAGTGGAACAAAGTTAAGAAGTTGTTTTGAAAAATTTCTTTAAATATCTCATGGGTCACTGCCTCTTTTTTAAATACTAGAAGAGTATTCGCGCAATGCAATGAGACATATCTCAATTTTAATGTTCTATTTTATTATTTATCTCTGTCGATTTTATAATACGATTTTATGTGTTTTTAAGAAAAAAATAATGATTTTATTTTTGAAAATATAAATTTAAAGATATCATAAAAATTTGAAAAAAATATATATCAATGTAAATAGTATTTTACATATAAAAATTGGTCTTTAAGAGTTTTTGTCAAATGTTTTTAAGAGTTTTTATCAAATGTTTTATAATATATATATTATTTTTTCTTTTGTTTCTTTTGTGTGGATTAGAGAAGAAAGAAAAAAAGTGGTTGGGGGATTTTTGTGGTCATCGTTTTGAAGAAATAGAAGGAAGAAGTATTTGACTTCGAAATTTATTATTGATTTAATATTTTATCGTGATTATAAAGTGTGTTTTATTTTTAAAAACATTATTTGATATATTTTTGGTGAAGAAATTATATAGTTTTATACATAGGTTTTGAATATGTTCTTTTAAGAATAATTTTGTGTTTTAATATGTGATTATCAATTGGTTGGAATAAGGATGACAAAATCAAAAGAGATGTATTTTGGGGTAAGGGTAGCATAATCCAAGAAGACATATACTGGGATAAGAGTCGTATAATCAGGAGAAACATATTTTGGGATAAGAGTGACTTAATCCTGAGAGACGTATACTGGGATAAGGGTGGCAAAATCTTTTGTATGTGAAAATGGGATTTGGATCATGTGGAATTGTTATTGCATCTTCATGATGCGATGAGTTTGATTTATCGTATTTATATGATACGATGAGATGATGTTATTGCATCTTTGTGATGCGAGAAAGGTATTTATCTCATCCTTGTGATGTGAAGAGTTGTGTTATCGCATCCTTGAGATGCGGCAAAATTGAGTTATCGCATTCTTGTGATGTGACAAGTTGTATTTATGGCATAAGTGTAATGCGACAAAGTGAGGTAATTGCGTCCATGTGATGCAAGGAAATGAAATATTGCATCTATAGGATGCGATAAGATTGTTATGATGCAATAAAAATGTGATTGCAATTCTTGACCAGTCAAATCCGAGTTTATCCGTATGAAGGGCTAAGATCACTTCTTTAATTCTCAAATATTTATCACTTCTCAAAATAATCTTTGGCTATATATATATATATATATATATATATATATAAGACGTTTTTGCAAACCATAATGGTCATCTTGCAAACTAAAAGGTTGGTCCCTATAGTTTGTCAAAAATAACACATTTAGTCCCTACAGTTGCGAAATTACAAGATGACCATTATGGTTTGCAAAAACGCCTGGACGTTTTGCACGAACCACGATGATCATCTTGTAATTTTGAAACTACAAGGACTAAAAGTGTTATTTTTGACGAACCATAGGAACCAAATTTGTAGTTTACTCTATATGTTTTTTCATTATCATCTTATATACCAGTAATATAATATAATCTCAATGTTTCTCCTTTCTTCCAATCCCGATATTCTTTACATGGTGACAATCTCATCTCTTTTTCCTAGTAAATCGTTTGCACACGCACACACACTCTCTCTCATCGAATACCCCCCCCCCCCAAATCAAGCATCCTCACCTTGTCTCCTTCCCCAGCACCAACGATCCTGGAGTAACCCAGAAGTCGAATCCAAACCCAAATTAGGACATAAAATTACCAAATCCAAAAACCAAAATCGATATGTAAAATTACCAAATCCAAAACTCAAATCTAGATGTGGAGGTTAAGAAAGATTGCTTTTTCATTGTTAATTTATCGTTAAATCTCTCACCATCTCCATGTTCTTCTCATGTTTATTCTTTATATCACAATTATTTGTTGCTAAATGTTTTGCAGTCGGGTTAGATTTCTTCCACGTATTCTTGTTTTTTGTCTAAAGAACTTCTAGAAAAGTGAGAGTTTTTGTGATTTCTCATCCGGATTTAAAGTAAAACAAACTCCTAAAACTTTCTTGAGAGAAATAGTAGAAATGGATGAAATGTGGGTATTCAAGGATGGATGACTACTAGATTTGACTCAAAGACAAAGTGTGGTATGTAAAGGAAGGCCACGATTATAATCTAGAGGATCGAGAAGAATTCATGGTTATGGATGCGTTTCAGATGAAGAGAAGCTTGAGCTGAGGCTTGGTTATGTGCCAAAAGTAAAAAAAAAAAATGAATGATATTTATGGTTATGCCGAACTAATCGAAGTGTACTTTTTTTAGGCATTAAAGACACATAGCATGATCAAGAAACCAACAAATCTTCACCTCATCTAGATCTAAGGGTGTGTTGATCCAAACTCTATCAGTGATTTAATGATGACCCTATTTACTTAGTAAAAATTTACTTAGGTTTGATTATATTCAGTTTCAGCGATCATCACTGAGTTACGTATGTAGCAGTTACTGAACCTGGGTATTCTCTAAAGACAAAATTCACACCAAAGGTACATTCAGCAATGTCGAAGAAGTAGCTAAAGATAGAGACATGATAGTTCGTGATCTGAAGTGGATTCAGTGATAACAAAAATGTCTAAATCAAAGTGTGAAATCTGACCATGACTCAGCGAATACTGAAGAATCTTCAAAATGAAACAGTGTTAGCGATCAAATGAATCTTGCTCTATAAGATTATGTTGTCTTATCCTATATGCACAAAAGGACAACCCCATACCTTACATAGAAATGTACATGTACAGAGTTACTTTATTGTCTCCAATCGTGCTTGCCAACTTTGTAAAGTCAACTGTTCATATGCGGCCAAAATCCTGCATATTTGAAAACAAAGGACAAGCCCTCCAATAGATGCTTCCCACGTGGATTGTACCCTCTGACTTGCATTAAATTCAATTCCTTTCCGACAAATTTTACATTCCAGGGCAATACCATCGGATTTCAATTCCTTTCCGACAAATTCATTCTCTAATCCAAATTCATTAGACGTTGCGTCTACCATCTCATCGAATTGATCTCTGGTTCGATCTTCATCTGATATGCTCTCTCTCTCTCTCTCTCTCTCTCTCTCGTAATTTCTCCATTTATACGAGACCGATAGACAACATATGTAATCAAGGAATCGATTCAAGATAACTAGCTATCAATATCACTAGTCCAATCATTATTCAAAAGGTCATTTGTTGATATTTAATTCAGATTCCAAAGTGAATTCCGTGAACCAAACAAAAAAATTCTAATCCGTTAAGAATTTCATTCCAATTCCATGCAACCAAATGCAATCACAAGGCATGGTCAAATTCCATTTCATTCCTTCAAAGTCAAATTCATTTGATGAATTCCAATTCCATCGAATTCCATTCTACGAACCAAATGTCCCCTTATAATATACATATACTACACATATAAAATATGAACAATTGTACACATTAAGCACAAGACAGTGAACTAGATTTCACTATGAATAGATTATGTTTTTTTCTTTCTATGTAGCCTTTAATAACTTGTACCATTGCTTTAAGACTTGTACTATAAGAAATTTTTATTAATCCCACGGTTTATTGTTTATAACTATTTCCGTACCTTATTTTAAAAAAATTCTTTTCTGATCACCGTGCTTTCCTCTTCATTTCGTTTTTCGTTTTCATTCTTGAGGCTATTCAAAGTTGGAAAGGCGCCTCTCAAGTTCAGTTTTTGGCTGCCTCGCCTCGAGTCATACGACAATTACAAGAATAAAATCTAACACTAATGGTCAAACTATTTAATCAATTTTTGGTCAGTATTGGTTCAGATATGAAAAAAGAGTCAGGACACAATGGATAAAAGGTATGACAACAGTTTAGGAAAACAACATATATTTATTGATTACATGTGCACATGAATTTTCCTAATTCATGAGATTTATGCAAATTGTCTTTTAAAATAACTCGGGAAATTTTCAAAGGGAATAGGGATTTAATTCGGGTGGAGTTCAACTTAACCAAGTTTTGAGTGATGATCAACCCACTAGACAACTAAACTCGAGATCTAAATGACGTTAATTGAACTACAAGTTAATTGGTTCAGGTTTCATTTAACCCGACAACATGATTTTATATGTGTGCTTGCTGCTATTGTTATTTCAAATCATCACCAATAAAAATAGTAAAGTTTCTTTACATGATTGTTGAAGAGATAAAAGACATGAGATTTTTTATTTTCTAAATACATGATAGTTTTGTGCCAAATAATATTGTTACTACTTTGGAGATAGAATATACACATTAAAATGAAAACTACAACCATTATTTATATACATACCATACATACATACACATACATATATATACATACGTATGTATGTATGCGTATATACACATATACATATAAGAGACACACACATAAGTGTGTATAATACATATGCAACTACTTCAGCACTTTGTGCTGGTTTCAGTAATCTATTTCTTATATGTACATTCCCATTTCAGATCAACACGTGATTGATCTCTAACATCCTACACAATCATACATCTCAACCATCAACATTCTTCTTTCTAACTCCTAATCGTCACCCAATTTTCCTGTGAAACCATCTGATCACTTTCTGTATGATGCTTTGGTGATTTTTGCTTCTCGTAACATCGAACCGAAAATGGGATTTTACTCCTAAGTTTTGTCTCTTCCAACTCGTCAGAATCCTCCGACTCATAACCATCGTCACCAAGCCCGATATCAAGAACGCTCAATGGCGAGAACATGTGTTCATATTCTGGTTTCTTAGCCTTGGTTTCGCCCTTGATAAAGGGATGGTTCAGGAGCTCGTCTACTGTTGATCTCCGTTCTGGATTCCTCACGAGACACTTGTTCAGAAAATCCAAACCCGATTTCGGGAATTCTCGAGGAAATGAAGGCAATTCGTTGCTCGAAGCAATCTTCAAGATTGCAGCCATTGTGTTGGAGACACCAAGTTCACCCCAAGGGCTCTTGCCAGTTGCCATTTCGATAACGGTGCACCCTAAAGACCAAATATCTGCCGAGAAGTCCAATGCTTCATTCCTTAGTACTTCCGGAGCCATCCATAATGGAGTCCCACAAAGGAACTTACGGTTGCCGGTGGTGGCATTCGATCTTAAACGTCTTGCACAACCGAGATCAGCTAATTTTACGTTTCCATTTGAACCCAAGAGCACGTTCTGACACTTCAAATCCCCGTGAACAATCCCATTATCATGGAGATACTTCAATCCCTTAAGGATTTCTTGGGTGTATACACGAATGACTCCTTCGTCGAGTTTTCCTCCGAGTTTTTCAGCGACATCACCGAGACTTCCGGCCGCCATGTACTCGATGAAAAGATTCGTTTTCGGGTGACCCCCGTTTTCTCCTACAGAAACCTCTTTCCCAAGACACTGTACAATGTAAGGGGAATCAAGGCTTGCGAGAACATTAGCTTCATTCTGGAGAGACTGATTCCCCTCCTGAGAATCCGATGATTTCACCACAAAAAGGGAGCCGTTAGATTTGTTGATCGCCAAATGAACAACCCCGAACGATCCTGATCCGATCATTTTGCCCCGAACCCATTCGCTAGCCAAAAGAGATGGAGACATTTTTACGTCCACCTCTTGTTAGCTTTGAAGATCAAAGGATTCAAAACGGGTAATTGAAGAAATACCCGATTTCGAATCTGATAGTTGTTTACAAATGGTATAAAACCTAAATATATGAATCAAATTAAAAAGAATTGAAGAAGATAGATTTAATTACATATATATAGGGAGTTAGGACATAAATCAGAAATCTCGCCGCAAAACCTTTGAAACCGACCGGATTTCAGGCGGGGTTACATAAAAGGTAAGCAAACTACGGTGGTGGAGCGGTCTCCCAGTTGCCGGAAACCGCCCTCACTCACAAATAGTCTGTGACAATTTGGTAATCTGTTCCACGAGTTAGATTGTGAAGGAGGAAAGAAAGGGTTGGAAAGATGTATGGTGGCTAAATATCATTTGTCTCTCTCTAAACACCACATGTTTCAGAGAGAGAATGCATGGTGATCCCACAAATATGGAGCTATTTAAATTTCTATTGTCCATCATCGATTGTTTAATTTCACTTACTAATGAAAGTTCGACTGGTGATCTGTTTCCATGGTTTTCAAGGGTATTATAGTCATTTCATGTAGGCAGTTGGTTGAAATTATTAAGAAAAAAATCTTTTTTTAACTTAATTCATGCAAAAGGTTTATCTACATGAACTCTAGTCCAAATTTCTACGTTCACGAAAAGGCAGGGGTTTGCCTTGCCTATTCATTCAAGGGTACTCGTCACTGGAATTTAACCATTTGACAGTTTTCATTATTATAAACGTTTTCAATCCTCATTGACGGATTCTTTAGTTATTTTCGTCAAGTTGGATGAGTTAGTTTCAGACATACTACGCGTTATTCTTAAAAGGGTAAAAAAGTCTTTTTTACCATCATCCTCTTCGTTCTCTTTATCATATCCTCTTATATATTTGTGTCTTTATCATATTGATACATGAAAATCAATAAGAGCTTACGTCCATTGTTATAGAGAAAATAGGAAAAGATAGCTAGTAATAAGTCTTCTAACGTCAACCCATTAAATAGTGACATATAGAGAATAAGACTATGACACGGTTGGTCCCTAGAACTATACTAATTTACACCAAGTCCATGGCAAATTTATGACCCCATTTGAAAACAAAATGACAGCTAAAAAGTGGGGGCGATAGTATATTGGTAGGGGGTATAGGTCAGGGCTTTAAGACGAATCTTGTAAACTTTAATGATGAATATTGTCAGATATGATTGAACACTTCCATGGCAAATTTATGACCCGATTTGACAACACAATAACAACAAAAGTGTAGGGGGCGATAGTACATTGGTAGGGGGTATAGGTCAGGGTTTCAGAACGAATCTTGTAAGCTTTAATGACGAATATTATCATATAAGATTTAACAAGTTCATGGCAAATTTATGACCCGATTTGACAACACAACGACAGCTCTATGGTAGGGGGCGATAGTACATTCGTAGGGGTTATAGATCAGGGTTTCAGGACGAATCATGTAAGTTTTAATGACGAAATTGTCATACACAATTTAACACTTCCATGGCAAATTTATGACCCGATTTGACAACACAATAACAGCTAAAGGGTAGGGGGAGATAATACATTGGTAGGGGGTATAGGTCAGGGTTTCAGAACGAATATCGTAAGCTTTAATGACGAATATTGTCAGATATGATTTAACGAGTCCATGGAAAACTTTTATGACTCGATTTGACAACATAATGACAGCTAAAGGTAGGGGCGATAGTACATTTGTAGGGGATATAGGTCAGGATTTCCGGACGAATTTTGTGAGGTTTGGTAGGAGCGATAGTGTATAATAGGATGTCTTGTGAAACCAAATATCACAACTTTATACTGACCATATTAAATCTTATACAATTACTTGTCCACTTCTTGCAAAAAATGGCTGGAAACTCATCATCATCAAACCCTCCGTCTTCTCAAACCATGCCTACCAGGATGAAGAAATCCATAGAAAAATTTGAAGCAAAGATCAAGGAGATAAGTGATGATTGGTGGAGAAATAGGGAGAGGCGGAGTAAATTAGAGGAAGTGATTGAAGAGAAGAAGAAGACTATAAAGCAATTGCAAAACAAGATTTAAGCTGAGAAAAAACTTGTGAAGGACATAGCGAAAGGGTACCCCGTGATGCAAGAAATGATCAATGAAAAGCAGTACTGGATTGAATCTTGCAAACAACTTTATCCAGAAGGAAATTAGCAAGCATGTTATGTAATGTTTTTGTTTTCATTGATGTTTTCATGGTAATGTTATGTATGAATGTTGTTGTTTTAATTGATGTTAGCTATGCAATGTCTATGTATTAATGGTTAACGTTCACGTATTTCTCAGTCAAACTTCTATTTAGTATTAAAACAACAAAGCTACATTATACAAACGTACATTTACTTATTTAAATCATAAGTATCAATTACATAGTCTTGTGTAGTATCAGGTTGATACGGACCACAATCGGTTGGTCGACTAACTGATCTTCGACGACTACTTGAACTTTCGTGCATTGCCTAGGAGCTGGCATTGGGCTTGGACAATTATAACGAAAATGTCCACACTGGTGGCATCGACTGCAAGTTTTCAATATCGTTTCCTCATCTCATGATGGGATACGATCGCGGGTGGCCTGCCAAAGTTTTGTATGTCCAAGGGAGACGGTAGGACGGTCATACATTCGTTGGACAAAACATATTTATCTTCTGGTGGAAGGGGATTTACTTCATCCTCGTACGATGCACGATAAAAATCGCAGTTAAACCAAACGGAACAAAATTGACTGCAGTCTTGAATATTTAAACTTCGAGCAACAGATATTACATGACCGCAAGGTATACCATGAAGTTGTCATTGCATGCATGTACAAGTCTTAGCATGCAAATCACACTTTCCTTTCTTATACTTGTCATCAACTTCAAACAACAAATCGCTAATGGGATATACCTTCCAATTTGCACTCCTATGGATTCTCTTTTCAACTTTTTCTTCCGCCCAAGGTGTCACTGCATTTATCATTTGAGCTGCAAATATTTGATAACATTATCCTATGTTACATAATCATACATATAGTTTTGGATGGTTGCATTTACCTCCGTTATGCCGACGTATAAATAACAATGTTGCAATGTGGTCTGATAAAATTCGACTAACATTGTTATCGGAAGGTAACGTGCAAACCGGGATACTGGGTTGATGGACTCAGCACTATTGGAAATCATTGCACTGTAATGCAATCCAGGAAAGTGCGATCTTGCTCATATAGCGTAACCAACTTCCTCAAGATATTGAGCGGCGTTAGGTAGACTATGCGACATCAAATCCATTGTAGCTTCAAAGTCCGACATCCTATAAGCTTTGCATGACTCCCAGAACATCCACCATTTTCTTTTATCTAACTGGAGGTTAGCCGCAAGTTCTGGCTCAGATGCTGACAACAAAGTCAGTGGTGTGCGTCGGGGAATACAGTTCGTATGGACAACTCAATAGATGCAACCCTATCGGTTACGAAGGTTAAAGTGGGCACTTCACTGATACATTGCCTCAACTTATGTAAAAACAATGTCCATGACGGGGCACTTTCTGTCTTCCCCACTCCCATTGCAATGGATACGATCTCATTGTTTCCATCCATGCCGACCACTAAGAACATGGTGCCCACGTATAACCCCTTCAGATGGGCATCTGTTAAGTTAAATGACGTCACCCAATAAATGCTTACCTGCTAAACATTTTATAAATAACTCTTTGCTCTTATATTCTTGTCCTGAGCTTTTAACAAATAATAAATGGTCTTTATAAAGCCAAAATAATGGATTATATTGGTTTTATACACTTACTTCCTTTATATAGTTTATGGAAAAAAAGAAATTGATTAAACATTTTAAATTCCTTTTAATGAATAAAAAATGCCTCTGTGGTATGTTAACGAATTGGTCCACTACATAATCAAGACTTCATAAGTTCACAGACTTGTTAACCAAACAGAAAACTAGAGGGACTCAACCGTCTTTTGAAAAAAGATGCAACTATGTTGAAAAGACAATTATCTTATTTGCAAACATCCAAAATAAATAAACTTTATGACATGGCAATAGATATAATGTGTTTGAATAAGGAAAGGTTCATTTGAGAAGTGGTTGTATTTGAGAATCAAAGAAATGATCATAACCCTTCGTCTGGCCAACATTTGCAGCTTTGACTGTGAAGCACCAGATAATTCCTTGCATGTGTATGCGGAAGATAGAAGGATAGTTTTGTAACTTTTACAAATATGCAGCAAACGGGTTCACATATAAAGTATATGTTCATAGGTGAACCCGTTAATTAGTTCATATGTGAAATCACATGGGTTCGTATATGAATAAGTTAATTAGCTCATATGTGAATCAATTAATTAGTTTATATGTGGATCAATTAAAATAGTTCATATGTGAATTACACAGGTTCACATATGAACGTATAGTTCAAATGTGAATCATACCGGTTCACATATGAACTCGTTTGTCATATATTTGTAAAAGTTACGAAACTATCCCCTCTATTTTTTACATCGTTGCCAATTTTGACCAGTCAAAACCACAATACTTGACCAGTCAAATCCGATCTTGACCGTATGAAAAGCTAGCATCACTTTTTAATTTCTCAAATATTTACCACTTCTCAAAATAACCTACGACTATGATAATACATAATAAATAATTTTAATAGTTGATAATTCTAAAGGCAAATTGTATCAAAATAAATGCATTTTGTCTACCTCTTATTCTGAAGAAGATACTTTCAAAAAAAAAAATTTGATATCTTCGATAATAAAGTTTCAATAGTTTCTTTCAAAATGATTTTTTTTATAAATTTAATGATTTTCTTTTGTTTATCTATACTATATTATAAAGCATTTGACAAAAACTTTTGAAAACCATTTTTTATGCATGAAGTACTGTATGTTTATGCATATTACTTAAATTTTAAGATTACAAATAAATTATGCATAAGTACAA